CGAAAGTATGACTTGAAGTTGTTTGAACCCTGAAATCTGGGGGCAAACCCATATATAGCAAACCAAGCCATGGATTTATAGTATATTTGGGGTATTAATTTCAGTTTGCCTGAATCCCTAGTTGAGTTGCTAGCATCAATCCATATAGAGGGCCACAATGCATTGTAAACCATATGATCTGAAGAAGCGGACATAGAATGCCATACTGGCCTATCTGAATTGCATTTGTTTTCAGAAAACATGGCTAACTTGAAATAATTAGATAGTAATAGTCCTGTAAGACTGAATGCTGTTTTCAAATTGCTTTTCTTTAGTCAATTGAGACAGTAAAAATAGATGGCTCTGGCAGATATACTTTCCCTGATATAATACTGAAAAATCAGGATCCCCTAGGACTTGCTGTATTTGAAAATCTGTTCTTCTGGAGCAATGCAACACACTTGCTTTATGCATCCCGCAACTCACCTGGCGTTGGTATACTGCTGAAGGCCTCAGTCTCTTCATTCACAGTATTGCATGAGCTACAGCAATCACAAAGTAAGTTGATCTCTTTGGCAAGCCATAAGCAGGGCTGGGCTAGTAACGAGAATAATTTCATTTTCCCATTGGTGCTTCTGGGGTACGCTCTAGGAATTCATAAGCAACTGCAATCTTGCTTGGGCAGAATTATCTTGGAGATTGGATTAAAAGATGGCCAGGAACATGTGGGGAGAGGGAAGAGGCAATCAGGTAATATGACTAAGGCCACTTCATTTGAGCTAAAGGTTAATAGGTCTTTGCTGGGTTCATGCTAGGGCTGGGGAGCACTTGGGTTTGAAGGCAAAATTTGCTTCCGAGCACATGGGTTGCTTGCATAGCACTTGTCTGCAACTTGTTAAAACAGCATATTTTCCTGGAATTGTGCTGCTGCCTTCAGTAGCTGCAGGTTGATCTTGGGAAAAAGATAGATTTGGTGTAAGACATTGCAGTCGGGTGCTGCACGTGTGCTCTGAAGCTTCTTTTCCTTTGAATCCAAAGCTTTGTACAGCCCCAGTTCACATGTCATGCTAAAGAATTGCATGGTTTGCTTGGTTTGGGCTTAGCATGTTGGAGAAGAGGTTAATCAGTCTTGATTGCTAAACTATTCTCTTGATTTCCAGATAACACAAATGCATGTGCACCAGGAGTGTGTAGCCACATTTGTCTTTTGTCACCAGTTCATCCCAAAGGCTACAAATGTGCTTGTCCAAAGGGTACTTTTCTCCTAACTTCTGGTGAATGTGGAGGTAGGTCAATCATTCTTGGATACAGCTGGAAGACCATCCTTCCATGGAAGATTGGTGGAAACTGTCTCTTGACATTTTAAATACTAGTTTTGAGATGTGCATAAGCATAATCTTTTAGACTTCAGCTGTTGCGAAGGTACTGGTGCAGGTACTGAACATGCTTTAGCTGTTGATAGGAGATAGGTTCATGATGGTTTGGGCAGCTACCTGTTATGACCAATGGTAGTCAAGATGAATGTTTTGATCCCCTGAGCCTGCTTTGTCATTCCATTACATCAACATGTCAAAAGCTAAATGGCAGTAAAGTTGGTAGCTAGTCCTTGCCAGCTTTCATAAGACTTAAAGCAGATCTTACTTCAGTCAAATTCTAATACAAATATACAGCTAAAATATATGGGACCATGTCTTAATTTCTTTTGGTTAAACAATTTTCAAGTCCTCTGAAGAATACATTATGACTTGACTATTACGTGCATTTTCTCCATTCAAGGTAGCACCTATGTCAGATGGTGATCTAGGAAGCTGATGGTCTTAAGTGAATGTTCTTCATGTTGTAATGACTGGTGAAGTTAGTATCCAAACTAATCATCTTCATGTCTGTACCTTGACAGAGCTGAACGTTGTGTATTCTACTCACAATCAAATCTTCCAGATGCATGTTGGACCAGAAAATTTGGTGGTGCAGCAGCATCAGCCCTTGATACCTGAATGGCCGGAAACACTCTATTTTCAGGACATGGATTGGAAAAGAGGATTTCTCTACTGGACTGATGATAAAGGAGAACTGATGCGGTACAATATAGCAACAAAGATAAAATTAATAATTCCTACAAACTCACCAGGTGAAGTACTAGCCATTGATATAAGTGAAACCTAGTATGTAAATGGGTCCTTGTGCTAACAGTATGTTAAAATTGCTTCAAGCCTTGAAGGCCTGATATAACCTGCAGGTTATTAACAGCTGCCTAAAAGAACAGCCTCCAATCAGTATTGAAACCAGGAAGCTAAGGAAACTGATGTTACCTGCAGCTAGAGTACATCATAACTAGATTTCTCAGTAGTCTACTCTCTGGGGTATTATAGGCTTCCTGGCATAATGCCATAAAGCTCCAGATTTTTTACTAGTGCCAATTTGTTTGAGGTTTTCCAGTTGCTAGGAATATTTTCTATCTCATGTATAACAACTGCCAAGAACAGGGGCAGAAGCTTGTAGACCAGTGTTTCTCAACCTCAGCAACTTTAAGAGCTGTGGACTTCAACTCCCAGAATGTTCCAGCCAGCATGCTGACTGGGGCATTCTGGGAGTTGAAGTCCATACCTCTTAAAGTTGCTGAGGTTGAGAAACACTGCTGCAGAGTTATGCAGAGGAGCTATGGCCCTGAATAATACGGCTGCTTAAGGACTCACTGCTCAATAGGAAGGCATTGCTTAGGTATCTTGTGCCCACAGGGAAGTGAAAATGAGGTAGATGCCTATATAACACTAACAGGAAGTTACCTTCACACTGTGTATTTAGTTTTCCTTTCCTGATTTGATTTGAAGGAGTTATGTGCATTATGGGTTGCACCGCTGCTAAGGATGAAATTTCTAAAACGTGTCTATAACTTCCATCTGTTGGATTCTTTTGGAAGAAAAGGAATAGATCACTCCATTATAGATTTCTGAATGTGGAATATTGGCAGAGAAGGCTAAAAAGAACTGGAGATTTGTAACCTGAAAACATGGAGTGAAAAACAGATGTTGAATCTTGGGCGTGCAGATTGTATATTTTAAGCACCATGTCTGTATCAAACATCTGTTTTAATCTCTCCCATGAATAAAACCTTTTTAGAACAAAGAGGGAAAGATAGTCCCTTCTATTTTAGGAGTTTACCGTAGGAATAAGAAAAATACACACACACACACACATAAAAATTAGTTTTGAACTAAGCACACAAACATCATCTCCCACTGACCAGACTGGAAATGCAGTGATTGGATTAGGAAACTACACTGCAGAGTAGTAAGTAAGTGTGGAGAGAAATCTGGGGTCATATTGATTCCCAGCAGCACAGTCCTTATCACTGGGCCAATGGCTTGAGAGTCACATACAGGTTCCCATTCAGGAAATCTACAGATAGCTGATAGACTGAAATGAGCTGTTTCCAATAAACTTTGGAGGTGTGGATGTCAGACCTATTTCCATTTTAGATGAAACAAAGGACAGCAGTATATTTGGTCTGAATCTCATATTCATTCTGTCCTTAGAAAAATGAAATGAAAATGATAATTCTTAATGCTCGTTTTGTTGAACCACCCAACATTTTTGAGTTTATATCACACTCATGGCTTGGTGAAAGTTTATTAGAAAGCATTGTACTAATTGTGATATTGTGATATTCCAAACTTATGCAGTTCCCCACTGTTTCAGTTGCCCAAATTATAAAACACTAACCCTTTGAGACAGTGTTGACTCCTGGCAACTGTCTGGACAAGTCCCTGCAGTTTTCTTGGCAAGATTTCGGAAGTGGTTTGCCATGGCCTCCTTCCTAGGGCTGAGGGGGAGTGCCTGGCCCAAGGTCACCCAGCTGGCTTCATGCCTAAGGCAGGACTAGAATTCACAGTCTCCCAATTTCTAGCCTGGTGCCTTAACCACTACATCAAACTCTCTCTCCCTCATCTTGCTTAGCTATCTGAGATAACCAAATGTCAGTTAAATGCTAGTAGAGCTACTATTAACACTTTATCCTCTCTAATCTGACCCTAGGACACAAGGAATTCATACTATTGAAGGAAGGCATAGAGCTGTTTTATCAGCCAAGACACATTCAGAGCATTCATTGCCTCCATTCCAGAATTATGACAATGTAGGAAGTAGTTTGGTAATATTTGCTTATGACTTGAAGCAAATACACTGATGCTCAGTGGACTAGTAACTTGCAGGCTGAAGACAAACCATTTTCTTGTCCACAATTCCACTTGCCTGGCTAATTTATGTATTGTGAAGTGCTGGAAGCCAAACTGGTCTTTGCCTGTGAGAAATGAAGTATTATCTCTTTACTATAGAGATCAAAATTTAACTCAAACCTGACGAGTTACATGATATAAGTTATTGCCTGTAACTCACTCACTAGAAAGTAGAAGCTCCTAAGGGATATCAGCTTCCTAGAATCAAACCACTGATGAGTAGCACTGGAAAAGATATCCATTGATTTTGAAGGTCCAAAGATGTTCAATTTGGTACAGAACTTTAAGGACTTCTTATTCTCTTAAGTTAACACCCTTTTTTTTTTTCATTGAGATGCACTTACAGTGGAACCTCGGGTTACGAATGCTTCTGTTCACGAACTTTTCAGGTGACGACCAGCTCCGGCCGCAAAATTTTGCTTCGGTTCGCGAACTCCGCCTCGGGTCACAAACAGGATACGTGGCCATTTTCCCGCCCGTGACATGTGGTCCGCGGCCATTTTCCCGCCCCTGACATGTGGTCC